TACATCTAAGTGTCGGTCTTAAAAAAAAATATTGCTTCCAGGGCGAGCCGTAAGCCGTAGCCGTAGGCAGTAGCCGTAGGTCGTAGCCGTAGGCCTCCAGCTCGCCCTCGAATCTGCTTGCCTCGACCTGCAAAACACTACTTTCCGGTCTTGTAACGTAAATTGCCATTATTTTAACAAACCTCTTATATGACTAATTTGATATCTGATGGTTGTATTTTAGGTTTTAGACCATGTTCGACTTTTTATGAAAAATAACTTTTTTTCGTAAGTTGGCGGCATATGAAATTTATATCAAAATTGGCATTAAAAGGAGTTTATTTCAAAAAGGGGAGGAGTGAAAAATGTTGTTTTTCCACATCAAATTTGCGACAAAAAAGCGAATAATTATCCAAATAAAAAAAAAAAGGTAATTTTGGCCCAGTTTCGTGATTGTTGGTGCTAATTTTACCGTGAAGTTAGCACTACCAGGGGTTATTTTGAAAAGGGAATGAGCGACAAATTTTCCATTATTGGAAAATTCAAAATTCCAAAGTAGCAGTCTAACTTCACAAACGTAATATTTTTTTGGCATTTGCTCAATCGGCATTGTTTGGAATGTGCTGTATGACACTGTAAATCTCTACATCCACGCTATACCTACCCATCTTTTTTTTGTATATTGCTTTCGATAGTAACATACCTCCACACTTATCGATATGTTTTGCTAATTAGTATCAGTGTTTTTCTCGCTTATCTGGGACGCTCTTTTTGCGACATAATCAAAACGAGATGCTTCCTGTGCACGACCGTCGACGATGCTGATGCCAGAACTTTTTTTTTCCGTAGTGGGCTGAGAAGGGAATGCGACCGAGAGGTCCTTATCGCTCGTTATCTCAAAACAATTGTATCAGTGGTGGTATGATTTACTCTCTCAAAGAAACACCTGTTGCTGGCAAATGACTAAGATAATTTTTGCGCGTTGAATTCGCTTGCATCGGCGATTTCGCCGGCTGAGAACCTTGGAGGGCATTCCCACAAAAAAATAACTATTTACTTTTGTGTGACAGAAGTAATTATGGTAGTTTTTGGTAGTCTACACATGTTTTATTTATAGAATTTCTAAATACCGGGGAAAATACTCTATACAGCATGAATTTCGTATTAAATATTCTGGAGCTTGGAGCTCACATCTGGTGTTTTACAGGGTTCTGTTCTCTACTGTTTGCTCTATTTATTTCTAATATTAATAACGTCTTTGCAACCAGAGGCGTTAAAGTTGTAAATATCGACTATGAAAATGTTGTTACTCACTGGTCCTAATACGGATCCCTTTGGAACTCCATTATCTACATTACTACCATTTGAACGAGCTTTATTCACTTTGACACTACTTTTTTGTTTATTTAATATGACATTAACCAACTTATATCTTCCAAAACCAAAAAATTGAAGTTAATTTTCACAGTTACAGAATAAGTCCCACATTACTGAAAATTAAATTCGTTTTTTCATTACATCAGGGAACCATTTCTACATGGAGTGATTGCCCTATTTACCCTTCACTAAGGTGACCAGATTTCTTATACAAAAAAAAGAGGATAAGGATGTTTTAGGAATTTTTTTGAGTTAGTTTGAATTGCATTCATCATTTCTTCAAAACACATTTTTTTATAAAAATAAATAAAAACAAATAAAAATATCATTACTACTGGCAACGCCGCACTATGTCGCGCAAAATCCATCGATTTTTGGATTAGTCGGCCATATCGTTCATATATCCGTCTTTATTTAATTTAGAATAACAGAGAAAAAAGGAAAAAAATATTTTTATTGGAGCTTGCAACATTATTTTAATTGTTCAGAATTACAAAATATTTCCAGTGTAGTATTTTTTAATATATAATAAAAAAGAGGACATTTGGCATAGAACGTGTTAAAAGAGGACGTCTTGTCAACCTAATGGTTGTACCCATGCTCTGCACCTCGTATTATAACAGGTTCAAACTGGCGAAATTAAATTAATTTCGAAATATTATTATTTGTTTAAAATTTACATCTGTTAACAATAAACATACATTTAATCGTTATTTCATTAAAATAATGATCAACATTATTCGAAATCTATGCGACTGGTATCAGTCTTTAGGCGACGAGCAGTCTGCTATGTACAAGGTCAGACCAGCTGGAATACTTAACCTATGCTACTTGATATTGTTTGCGTTCGTTTATCTCGAATTTTGAAATTTACGCATTCCTAGTTAGATAACACGACAGGGGATCAGGTTGTATTAGAATTCAAGATAACATTACTCGATTATATACATATACATGTTCAAATAGAATCATAATGATGATGTGACATAAATTTAGATCTGAGAATACAGAGCCAGGTGTGTAGGTAAGGTACATTTACCTACCACCGATATGAAATGTTTAGAATACTTTTTTTTATTATTATTAGAACTAAATGATGAATATAGACATGGAAAAAACTACTAAATAACAATAATTTAAATATTACAGTTATAACGTTAGATATATTATCAAGGCGAAGGAAGATAAATTGGAACTTTGTACATAACTTCCTATTCTTTTTTGATAATCAATACATTAATCATAAAATAAGGAGTGGATTGTATGCCTTTATTAGAAAATCTCTTACATTTTATACATCCGTTAACAACACATCTAATACTTTTACGTCCTTCCAAAATCCAAAACTGTTCTCTCAACTGACATAGTAAACCTTGAACACCGACATGACAAAGTCTAATATGTTCTTCCATGATGAGCCTTTTAACAAGAATATGTTTTCCTGGTAATAAAGTTGGCTCAGTAAAGTCAAAAGTATCTACACGATTTAAAAGTTTTGTCGCAATTCTAAATAGGCCGTTTTCATCTCTAAAAGGCTGTAAGTAGCTGATAGATTTTTCATCAACACCACCCGGAAAAGCTTCCATTTGAACAAGTTTCAAAACAACTAATTCAGCCTCACAAAATTCAGCAGCTGATAATTCCCCTCTCACACGACTGGAAGTATATCTACAATTTGTAATAATACGACGTATCCAACCAACCATTCGCACAACCTTAGAAAATTTAGAAAAATATCTGTAATACCAATCGAAATCAGAAGCTTTTAGGTGCGACATACACGTTACAACAATTTTTCGTTTCTCTACCAAGTCTTCATCCTCATCAATAAAAACTTCTTCATTAGGCCACGAGTTAGGTTCTAATTTTAACCAGGATGGGCCCTCCCACCATCTAGATGACAAGAGATGTTTCGGTAAACAACCATTTGATGGTAAATCAGCTGGATTCATCTTACCAGGTATAAACTTCCACTGACCTCTGGTGGTGAACTTCAATATCTCGTCAATTCTATTACGAACAAATATCTCCCACATTTCATCGCGTGAAATCCAGGCCAAAACTGTAGCTGAATCAGACCAAAATAAATACTCTATCTTTATCCATTAATTTATTAAACTATAAAATACCTTTCCCTAAACGAGATCCTATGCGGCCATTAACTTCTTTCTAGCCTTTGCTTGGATAAGTGACACAATGACATCCGAAGACGTCTCAATCCTAAGAAAACAGACCGCTGCTAAGCACCTAGCATCTATTTCTTGTGCTCTACAAATGAACCTGCTTTTGTGGCACCATCTAGTGACGTAAGGTGAAGTGATAACGACAGCTGTTCAGTTCGTTCGTGCTTGTTAATTTGTTATGTGTTCTGTCAAATTTGGAAAATAGAATTGCAACGTTGCCGGATGGTAATAAAATTAGTAGTTAATGGAAAATTGTGATTGCCCATACCGGTCCATAAATATGCAACAAGAAAACGAAGCTACGACTTATCGTAGGGTGGCGCCACCAGAAAACATCAACCCATACCTGGCTACGCCAACCGGCATAGACTCCAATGGCCTGGACACAGCTCAAATTGAATAATTGAAATGAAAAGTCTCAAATTTTATGGTTTATCATCTGGCCTGGAGCTATTAAAAAAACAGCCACTGTCATTCCTGTTATGTACGTTCTTTTACTATGTTTGAGATAACTCCACATTTATAGAAATACAAATATCAGTTGTCATATTATTCATAAACAAAAAATAATATAGAACGGTATTACCATGAATATATTTATTTAGAACAAATAACAAAAAAGCAATTGGCAACATCGCTAAAATCACGCACAGGCGCTCTTAGTGTGACTGTCAAATCGAAAAAATTAATTGAAGGTCAATGCTGGGTTCATTTGTAGAGCACAAGAAATAGACGCTAAATTACCACATTATTTTTGGCTATGTACTCATCCACTGTCCTCAGTTCTTGACTCAATTCTGACTTTAATTTGTCATCTTCTAACATCAAATCGAAAATTTCTCTATCCATCACAGCAATTTCTTCATATTTAGTGTTCAAACCTTTGACCACCGCCTTCAATTTATGTAAAGAGTATTTATCATCGGACATCTTATCCATGATTCTATCATATTGGTATAAAGTTTTTGCGATATACATATCGTGCTTTCGTTGCCTTGTCCATGGTGTATCTCACGTTACGAAGTAATAAGTCCTGTCACGGTCGCCAAATATAACGTTATATATAATTATCAAGGCGAAGAACGACAAATTGGAACTTTGTATATAACTTTTTATTCTTTTTTGATAAAACAAATCAATACATCAATCATAAAATAAAATCGTACATAACTACTATACATTAATTGTTTGTTACAGGATGATTATAAATGTCAATATACATTACAAAATTGTATAGGGTGATTTCGTAACAACAGTCTTTCTACAACCATTACGCAAGTTATATTTGTCATATTCCCAAATTTTTACGTTTTTAACCTATAATTCAGTTGACAGTTCGATTTTAAACCTATATTAACTTGTTCTGAAACAATTGAAATTGAAACGTTTTAAATTGTAAATATTTTTTAGTATCTATAACTTTAAACATTTTTCTTAACTGATTAATTTTTTTTATTGCAGACTGAGTACCCAAATTATGTGAACGGTACACCACTATCATGGCTGCCAGATCTTGGGAAAAAAGTGGATGACGACATTCCTCAAGACGTTATGGATGAATTAACGGTAAGGAATCAAATTTAACATATCCAATTTTTTTAAATATCTAAAACCCCTTCTCTACGATGTAAAGAACTTAGTATACACCTTCGTATATCTCGATATGTAGATAAAAATACAGGGTGTCCCAAAATTAGACGGTCATATTTTAACAGCATAATCTACATCCCAAAATAGGAGTAAAAGTTCATATAAACATAGGTCTGAAAACGTTTCTTTTCCGAGATACAGGTTGTTAAAAGTGAAGTCCTGATGACACTCTTTTGTAAATATTTTCTAAACGTTTAAAGATAACTAAGTGAAATTTGGTACAAATGCTAATCTTTTTACGCTCTATATAATGGATTAAACCCCAGTTTTTTATCATTGTCATAGGTGGGTAAATTAGGAGGGGCTTAGGGTAAAATTGCCCTAAGTTTTTTTTGTTGACAGTTTTTGCCATTTTTGACTATAAAATTTGGAAAGCTAATGTTTTCTTTACAATAAAGTTACTTTTGTTGCATCTCGCTAGGGCGCACCATTTTCAAGAAAAAAGCATTAGAAAATTTCATGATAAGTTATTCGAAAGTGTAAACAATAATTAGTAGGCCTGTGAAATCAGAAATTTAATTTTTTTTTACTTTGGAAAAACCGGTGACTCAAGAAATTTTAAAAAATATTTACAAAAATATGCCATTAGGACTTCACTTGTAACACCCTGTATCTCGAAAACGAAACGTTTTCGGACCTATGTTTATATGAACTTTTATTCCTATTTTAGGATGTAGATTACGCTGTTAAAATATGACCGTCTAATTTCGGGACACCCTGTATATTAAAATTTTTTGATTCATATTTACGCACCTCAGGGTACTAATCTTGGACCAATACCGTATTTATAAATGAACTAATTAAGAAATTTTAAACATGTGAAATATTATTTTATTGCTTTTGTTTTCAAAATTACTGTAAATGTTTTTGATTTTTTATTACCTCTAAGTTTTCTGTACCACCTCATTTTCATTGATGTGAGAATATACCAAAAATCTTAAGTAATTTAAAAATACCTATATTTTGTATTCTACGTTCGTAGTTTTCCCATTAACATAGTTAATAAAAACTATGAATGACAGAGGCCTAAGGACCGAACCTTGCGATACATCTATCATTTGGTTAAAATAATTTGATTTGTCAATAAATTTAAATCGAACACAGGTTTAGGGTCTATTTACTGTTGACACCACATTATCATTTAGTGACAATCGTTCAAACATACGAAATTAATAATATTATTTGTATTATTTCCAGGTGGAAAGAGCTCTTCCAACTATTTACACCAACCTTCAGAAGATAGCCGCCGTTTTAGAAGACGTCATCAAAGAGATAAAAGACAAGCGTTTGCAAAAGTATTTCGTATCGATACGAGACCTTAACTCCCACATTTTCGAAGTTTTTAAACAAGTCATGGGCTCGATGGGTATGCATATACCAACTGACGTTACGGATTCCTCGGAAGCTGCTTTGCCCATGGAGGCCATACAGGCTTTCAGAGACGAGAACGAGACGGGTACCACTGCATTTGCAACGATCATCTTCAGGGAATGTATCAATAATTATCAGTATGCATCGCAGACTTTATGTCACTTGATAAAGCAATTGGACCCGCGCGGGTGTTCTTAGGTGAATGATGATGCAAAGGTTTTGTCGAAACGTTTCATAAGGAAATTCCTACAATTTTTTGGTACGAACGATATTTATGATTAGCTAAGCAGCTTTGTTGTAAATTTTTGAAAATAATTTTTTGGGACGAGAATAAATTTTTTTTATTCGAAAAAATATTGTACTATATACAAAGTTTTTTAGCTAATTTTGTGTACTTAAAATTTATACTTAAAAAAAATGTTTGGAGAATATTTTCCTATTATACTTAACTGCCATTGGTATACTTATTAAATAAGGGTACTTAAATGTTCACGTTTTTTGGAATTTCGACAAAAACTGTTGTGTCAATTTTGAAGAATTTAAAGAGTATAGAAAAATTTTAAATTTGACTTTTTTGAATATTTGAAAATGATAAATGGATTTTTTCTGTTAACATCACTTGTTGTAAGGGTCGATAAAACTGGTAACACCCCCACTATTTTTTGAATAATTTTAGTTGGTCACGATACTTAGAACTATTTTTAATATTTTAAAAGCTTTTACATTATTTTTATTAAATTTATTTTTTAAAAATTATGAAAATAAATTAATTAAGAATATCCTGTGAATCAAGCATATATACAGTATTTTTTACCATGGGTCAATTTATATCAATTAGTGAATATTTTTTAATTAATTTGAAGATTTACAATTTTTTTTATATTTGAAATTAATAGGGACAAATGGTATGAAAAGTTTCTTTTTAAAACAAAAGGTTACAAGTAATTTGAAGACAGAAACATTCCATTCTTCTTCACTATTTAGTAGCCTTTCTATACCCTCGTCTGGACATAGGCCTTCCTATATCGATTATCCAGCATATAAACACAAGCGGACTGAAGTTTAAACCTTGTGGCAACCTATTTGTATGTTCAAAGGCACCGGTTTCTAGAAAATCATCATTAGATATAATGTTTACTAGGTATGAACATCTTTTTGTTCTTACGGAAGAAGTTTGAACTAATTTGAAAGCAGAATTATCAAACAAACAACAATTCCCATTCTTTATCTCTTTACTAGCCTTTCTGTACTCTCGATTGTAATTCATATAAACAAAATTGAAGTAAAGTTTGAACCTTGTGGCACTCCATTTGGTATGTTCAAGGATACAGACTTTATGAATATCATAATTATAGATAACACAGGTTTTCAAAAAAAAATGTCCGGACTATTTGACCAGGCCATGGTATTCCTAGGTATTTTGGCGTCCTGAATCCAATCCCGTGGTCAGTTTTGCTCCATCACGTCAGAAAAACCAGATTTCAAGGTCATTTAGAGGTTAAAATGGTGACTTTTTGGAAACCGGGGTCATTTCTCAAGTGATCTGTTAAGTTGAGGGGTAACTGTGTAGGTCTTGAATATCTTTCAAACATTGGAAACGGTTCCCAAATCTCGACCAGGACCAGCGCAGGGCCAGCCATGGGGATAAAATGTTATCATGATCGTTGTATCTCGCGAATTTCGATCTCCCTGCCAAGGTGTTCAATTTCTGCAGTCCATTTGCTGTGAGATAATGCCAGTGGATCCAGCACTGATCCAATTGGCCCTAGAAACTTGCCAGAACATTGGAGTTATGCTCAAGTGGTTCGAGGTATTCGAGCTCGTGAATTTTGCTTCCCTTGCCAACACGTAGAATTTTGACGATTGAGTTATCGTCAGTTAATGCCAGCACTTTTCAAAATGCTCCTAGAACATCGTCCAAAAATTGGGTGAAGCTATTCGGGGCAAACTAAGGTTGCAGAAAATGGCCCGAGGATCCCAACCCGCAACTTCAGAGTTTGTCACCTTTGTTCTGCTGCTACAGGCCATTGGAACTCAATCCCTCTGATAAAACGTCACATTCCACCAAGTAAATTGGTGTGGCTATTATACAATATTTGCGACTATGACTTAGAGTCTGCTGATAAACTCAGGAACAACGATGGGGACGTTGCAGATAATGTTCCCTTCGGGGTGCTTGTTTATAGTGAGTCCCTTCTCTTCTCACTTTTTTCCCTCCTAATTTCTCAATCTTTGCGTGCTTGTTTATGGGGTCTGCAGGTTTGATCAAAACTCCTTCTAAGCGCCATTCTCTTATGCCCCTTGTTGGCATCCCTCTTCAAGTTCCAACAGTAATCTGCCAACATGTTTATGTCCCAGAAACCTTGGGAGCGTCTTTCCATCTCTTTTATATCTTGGTGGAATCTTTCACCTTGTTCTTCGCTAAAATGTTCTGGCAAGGTTCTAGGGCCATTTGAGTCAGTACTGGATCCACTGGCATTATCTCACAGCAAATGGATCGCCGAAATTGAACACCTTGGCAGGGAGATTGAAATTCGCGAGATACAACGATCATGACAACATTTTATCCACATGGCTGGCCCTGCACTGGTGCTGGTCAAGATTTAGAGACCGTTTCTAATGTTTGGAAGGTATTCAAGACCTACACAGTTACCCCTCAACATCACCATTTTGACCTCTAAATGATCTTGAAATCTGGTTTATCTGACGTGATGGGGCAAAACTAACCCCGGGATTGGATTCAGGACGCCAAAATACCTAGGAATACCATGCTCTGGTCAAATAGTCCGGACTTTTTTTTTGTAAACCTGTGTAATGTTTCCAACTTTAGAGCACTTGCATAGACATTATTGAAGATCACCACTCGTAGTGTCTCTAACCTAAGAACTTCTAGTTATATCAACTTTTGGTTAGGTTGAATGGTTATCGTTTTGTTCTTGGTGTTATTTCACAAGTTTGGCAAAGGTTATTTGAAGTCTAATGAGGACGCAGGTTATCTGGTTTGTTTAGGCAACATTGTACTATATAGTTCCTCTTTCAAGCATATTGTATTGTCTAAGTATGTATTGGTAATATTGTATGGTATTAGTCACAGTACTGTCTCTTCATCTTTAGAGCCCTTGCGTAAACATCATTACACATTCCCGCTCGTAGATGTTTTAACCTGATAATTTCTAGTTGGATCTGGTTGAATTGTTATTCTTTTATTCTTGGTGTCCTATTTGATAACCTTAGCAAACGTAATTTGAAGTCCGATTTTACTGAGGCTCAGTTGTTTAGATGAAGATATAAATTATCTTGTTTGTCTGAGAAACCTTGTACCTTTTTAAGCATATTGCTTTATCTAAGACTATCTGGTATAAATTACAGTACTTTCTTTGCACCTTTAATGTCCTTGAATTGACATCATTGAACCCAACCACTTGTAATGACTCTTACCTAAAACCTTATAGTTGGATCGATTTTTCTTAGCAAAGACTATTCGAGGTCAAATATTGCTATAGCTCCGTTGTTTATTTCTATTTTCAAACAAATTTTTTCTTTGTCTAATGCCACATTATATTAAGTATAAGTCACAGTACTTTTTGACAAATGTCCAGTGGAGAATATTGGTACTTGATTCTTTGTCAAGAATATTGTATTGTCTAAGTCTGTATTGGTGATATTGTATATGGTATTAGTCACAGCATTTTTTGACTGGAGGTTTTTGGCTTGTAAGTGACCCAGAATCTACTTGAAGTTCAATTTTTGTATAAATTGATACTTGTGCCATTTCCTTCTAATCATTTTAACCTGTTGCATCTATTTTGGGTTCCTTTTCTCATCATATCATGCATCGTGGCTTCTGGATTAATTAAACAATATTCACTATTCAGTGGGGTTCGTAAGGGTTTATCAGTATTTTTGGTTTAAATACACTGTGTGTATGTGCGAATAAAAAATAGTGGCGGATATCTAGATCTAGTTGATCGACCGAATTGTATCAATTTGGAAAATGACATGTTTGTTGTTGTTCAAAATTTCTATAAAGTTGTTTTTTCTTGTGTAAGAAAAATTGTTCCTATATATGTGTAAAAATCACCTTGTACATTTGCCTTGTTAACACAGCTGTTGTTGATTTTGAAATTTTAAACTGACAGCTATGTAAAAATTTCCAGTATCTCAAAAAGGGGCTCGACAAATAGATAATTATATGTTAAAAATGTTATTTATTTTTATTTATACTATACTGTAATGTCTTAATTTATTATTTATAAGTTTTATTTATTTTCTAATTTAAATTTTTTTTTTGTTTACAGTAAGTTGTACATATATTATTTAATTTTTTTTATAATATATACATTGACAATGAGATCTTAATTTTTTGACTGAAATTCCTCAAATTGCTATAATTTTTTGTTTAAATTATAACTGTGATATGATTATAAAATAGCATTCACTAAAAAAAAGGATTTCTGTTGAAAATTTGTTTTATTTTCCTTGAAACTTTTCCTTAAATTACCCAAAAAAAAGTTAAATATATGAAATAGGACATAGGGTCGAATGATACTTAATAATAAAGATATATTTAAAGAAGTTTGTATTCATCTTTGGTTCTTTTTAAGGCCTGTTTCAACAACGATCACTTGTACCAGAATTATGCGCATTGGGACCGTCAAATTGTCTACTACGCAGAATCCTGGTGTCAGTGACTGATTTCTGATCGTTGTTGGAGCAGACCTTTATTTTAAATCGGCAGTAACAAAGTCCTATTTTAAATTTTTGACATAATAGACATCAGATTTTTTATATTTGAAATAATTGTTTTTCATATTTATTAGTTTTTTTAAGCCGAAATTCGTCATTGATGCTTGTCACATAATGTCATTGATCATGGGCGTCGTTACACAATTCTATAGGGAGGGGCAACATTTTGTAAAAAATTAGAATGTTTATTTGTTGAAAAACAAAGAAAATGAAAAACAAAAGAGCAGTACAAATTAACAGAAGATTCTAATAAAATAAAACCCAACAAAACAGGCAAAACTAGAATAAAAAAAAAAACAAGAAACCTAAAACACATATTTTTAAAAAACAAACGGAAGGTGTGAAAAGAAAAATATGAACCAGAAGACAGAGTCATACATAATATTTAAAAAAAAAATAAATATAAATATTTATAAAAACACAAAATCAAAAAACTCACTCAAACACGTCGATGAATACTAGAAAAACGCAAATTTTTTATTTCTTCTTTCTCTACCTAAAATAATCAATATCATGATTTCTTTTTAGTTTTTTTTCGATTATTTTTCGATGTACGCTCATCATGCAAAGCGCAGTCAGACTATTTTCATTCATTATTCGCTCTGTGCGTGACAGCAGCGCCAACTAATTCATGAACTAACGGACGATATTTGCGTATACTGATAATACAATTTTTAATGAAATTCCTAATTAATATATATATGTTCAATTTATTAAAAGTATATGACATTTGTAAAACAAGTGAAAAAATTAATTATTATATATTTTTAGTACTTCAGCTAACAAAAAAAGTTATGATATGTTGCCTAAATCTAATAAGTTGTCATTGAAGAATAGGTTAAATATTGTGAAAATAAAAACATAACGTAGTATCAAAACGTATTTACAAAAATATTTGGTAAATTTTCCATTGTAATTTATATTTTCTTCATTTTAGTTCGAAAGAACCCATAGAAATTAATGAATAAATTTGGTTTCCTATCAATAAGTCACAAAATTGCATTTCAGCCACATACAATAATCAAAGGCAGAAATCTAATCCTTAAGGTAGATTCATACTATAGGTCCGGTCACGGTCAGATCACGGTCCGGTCGCGGTCCAGTCAAATATTAGAATACGCAATTTTTATTAAAGTATTCATATTACTCTGCACGGTCAGGTAACGAGCTAGTCAATTGACCGCTCTCGTTCTTTCTGCGAATATTTTGAACTTTTTCTGTTGATGTTTATGGGATGCACCCTAGTTATTTTTTTGGAGCTTTCGCTTCTCTCTTCCTCATCTAGGATGTAAGCCATTATGGCCAGGTCTCTTTTTGAAAACATTGCTTGTTTTAAATTAACTGACAAAAGACTGATAAGCGACCGCAACAGTGTGAATAGTTCATAAAAAAACATGACCGCGACCGGACCGTGACCAGACCTATAGTATGAATCTACCTTTAGAGTTAAGGGATGTTGAACAACATTGTAAAATAATAATTTATTGTTTATTTAAAACCTTTCAATTTTCTGATGTCTACTATTTTCAGTATTACTGTTATTATTACAAAAATAAAGGTTTTTCTTCTTATTGTACAGCTATTCATTTATTTCTTTGATATAATATCCATTTTGCTACTGAAAATTTATATAATATACACTGTTTTTTCT